GGGTTTCCTTACGATGTTTTCCTTCACCGCCGAGCACGTGCTAAATCAGGACTTAAATAATTTCATTGGTGCCGACGGGGATCGATCCCGGGTTGCTCGCGTACTGTGAAATTTACAGCGAGTGCTCAGCCCTGAGCTACCACGGCTCCGTGGTATACATGTATACTTAATATATACTGCATATTTCTGAGCTTTAGAAACGTTTGTCACTAAAGTATGGTCTTATCTTGATTACAAGCAATAGGTATTGTGATGATTTGTGTAAAATTTGTTTCTATTTTATTTGTCAAGACATTTTTGAATGTTAGTAAATAATAAATTTTGAAACATCTAAAACAACAAAGAGCATCATCGTGTTAAAAAGCGCCTTCTTACAAGTACAACACATAACAGCTCAAGAAAAATGTGTCTTGGGGAATATCGATTTCAAATAAAATCGCAACCTTTTCAGATAACGAGGTGACATTTCCCCTTTCCGGGACCCGTTTGTCGCTCGCGTCGCACATTGCGAATTTATCCACCGAAATAAGGAGATAACGAACGTAATGGTAAAGAGCAGGATATATACGAGACGGATACAATTGGCACCGCACGGCGCCAATTGTGCGGGGAGCAGCCACTTTGTATCGGGCTTCAAAGCTGGCTAATATTATTGCAATTACAAAAATCGTTTTCCCTTTTGCTGCTTTGATGTATCGGTGTCATCGTAAATTTTTATGATGATTCGATTCTTTAATCGATTTCACAAAACGATTTTATTAACTAAAAACTGGTTTATTTTATAATTTTTTAGTTTTCAAGTTGGTTTTATATTTACTAAATTTTTGATTGTTATGGTGTACTGTTTTCAGTAATCGACATTTTTGTAATTAAAAACTGGATTTAATACCATGATTACGTATGTGTCTTAAACAAAAAATAATGTAAGGATATGAAGCATTATGAACATGATTCAGGATATATATTATGAGTATACGAGTGTATGGATGTATAACTAGTCTGGCCAAAAATAATTGAACAATTTAAAAAAAAATTCAGAATTCAAATTTGAAAGACGTAATAAGTAAGGAACTTCTTTTGAATTGCCGTCATTTCACATATTATTCTTCATCGGTATTTTAAATTACATTATGTAGTAGGACCACAAGAATATTTTTGTGGCAGGAGGCTATAGAAAACCAAATTGCACTGATAACTTTGCACAAAGTGGATATGGTGCTATCGGTCGTTTCCAAGGCTCAAAAACTAGGCATTTGCCGTATTTTTTATCGTACTGCCGACAGATACACCGACCGATTATTATCATTAAAATCGATGTGATCGTGTGTTGTTAGTACCTAACGGGCTGTGAACGCTATCAAAGCGATAATTCGACAAGACCCTGTAAGAAAACAAAACATATCTTCTTTTTATTTTCTTGCTAAAAGTGAAGATTCCCGCTGGGTTCTTGATGCGAATCACTAAACAAGACCCGAAGCTTAGTGCTTACCGTTGATAACCAAGACATACACTAAATCATTTCCTACAACTTAAGCGAGTGGATCGATCAAACACTTACTGTTCCAATACGCTCTTTCAAATTAAACAATTTTACGTTTTAAGAGCAAAATGACAAAGTATGCAACTCTCGTATGTTAGTATAATTCAACTTGGTCATTATTCCGCTTCAATCATTATTCTATCTAGGAGTCACGAAGCTTCAATTTTGTGACAAATTTGTAATGACTTTGGTCAAAGTTAAGAAATAAACTATCTTGGTTCGTGATACACTCTTGACAGAGGAACCGTAGACATTCTAGCAAGACTGCTCTTGGTCAAAAGGTACTAACAACTCAACTGGTTCGAGGGTAATGTCTAGACTTTATAAAAGCTTTGGACGGGCTCTCGTCCTGTCCAGATTTGAACTCGTTGGACGAAATACGTGTTTCATAAAATAAATACAAACTCTTACCGTTAAATTAAAGTAATAAAACGTACACTAAACACTACAATAATACCTCTAATGTATAAAATTTATAAATATTTGTATTAGAATTAAGGTATTAGAAATTATGGCTACTTTTATTTGATATTATTATACCCTTGCTGGGTGCTTGTGCTATAATGTGTCACACAAAACCACGTGTAAATGCATTAAATAAATACATAATGTAAGTATATACGACAGTCACTACTGTCCTTAAATTATGGGGTTATTTCAAAAATTACTTAAGCGACTTTGTTTATAATTTTATTCATTGTTATCAACATCATTTCATCCTTTCAATGTCCACTGCTGGACATCGGCCCATAGATTGCCTCATAAGGAGGATTTTTGCCATATTTACCACACTTGGCAGTTGGATTGCCCATCGCAGTTTTTTTTATAGTTATTAGGAATACGCTGCTGCCCATCTCCTCGCTTGACTTCCTCTGGGGCCTCTTACGACAACCACGGCACGATATGGAGTAATAGATATTCTTACACCAATTCTTCATACTTGATGTAGAAAAACGCAATTGCGTTTTTCTACATCTTTTATTTTAAAGGTTCATTAGTTACACTACTTACTTCCTCGGGCAGCGAATTTGAAATGAATGATTGATGTGAACAGTGGAACCGTCTGAAATATTATTTAATCAGTCAGAAGTATTATTTATTTATTACATAATCAGTAGTTACGCTGATTTTTTTTTGTACAACACGCAAAAGTCGACTTTAACATATATAACATTTTAGGTATACCCCACTGATTTCAAAAATTGTTTTCAATTTAAGTATAATTACCTGTATTACGAGAGGTGTCACTCCTCCATAGCACTTACATTACGATTTTCATGACCTTTAGATAATAATCTAATATATAAAAAATAAATTTCTTTTTGATGGTATTTTATACATTGCCATACCGTTCATCAGATTGCGGTAAAACTTTGTCAACATATTGCATGCACTGCCACGAAGGTTATAGGCATAATACAATTATCTTATTATAAATACCTAATTATACGAGTATATCATTCATATTCTCAATTTGACAATATAATCCTTTCAAATTTAAGACGATATTTCCGTAATTATTTCTTCGACGGCTGCAACGGGCCGGGTACCAGTTAGTTACCTATAAAAATTAACACCAATAACATTCGCGTCAAAGATGCATATGCGCACGCGCTTTTGTATGTATGTGTGTAGCAGTGCGTGCGTGCGTGCATGTGTCTGAGTGCATGGGTGCGTGAGTGTGTGAATGTGTGTGTGTGTTATCTGTTCTTTTCTAAATATGGTCTTGACTACAATGATTTTAATAAATGTGATATAACGTAAAAAATAAATTATAAATCTATTTTTCTCATATTGTTACGAGAAAAATTTCTAATAAAAACCTTCAAAGATAAGGAATTGCTGTAATTAATGTACCATTTTTCGAAACATGTTATGATCTCGCATGTAAGGGAGAGGGAGACTTCTTCAATATGCTCTTAATGATGTCCACCCACCGGCCCGCGATACTTGTTGCTTCCCGACAACCGAACGATATTGTATAGTCAGTAACGAGATAGCTTCTGTTAATGCTTTACATTTTATGCAACATACTACAAAGTTAAAAATAATGTTTTTTTTTTAAATATATAATAAGGGTGACAAACGAGTACACAGTCCACCTGATGGTAAGTGGTTTCTGTGGCCTATAGACATCTACATCTACGTCTCCGGTTCTCTTCACTCATCATACGAAACACAGCAGCATTAAGCTGCTATTTTACGCTATTATTCTGTAAGAGTGTGGTCCTTCCCCGGACGAGCTGACCCATTCGTGCTACAACTATATAGACTATTAATATAGCTGCAGCATGGCTAGAGCCATGGTGGCCATGGCTATTGTAATTATTTTTGTACCCATATACTCATACTATAATTATATAATTGTCGATGTGGCGATAGGGCAAATTCTGAACGTATTGACCTATTAAAGTCATGTTCATCAATACAATAATATATTTGCTTTGTCGAGACGATGATTCATAGATGTAGTCATTTCCAATTCTAAATGAATGAACCAAAATTATTTATTATATGTTATATGTATTATTATTTATGTATAAGTCATTATAGTGTCAAAAATCACAAAATGGACGCGATAAGTGGCGCTGTGGGCGATTTTATTTTACAGGGTATTTTTATATTTACGTGATTGGATTCAGAGTTAAACTCTAACAGAAAAAATATATAAAAATAAAACTAAAACAGATAAAACAATCTCGTATAATGTGTGTATCTCTGTCTGTCTTTATTCTTATTATTTTCATACAATTTTCACGAACGTCATAAATGTATTATTAAATATAATATTCTATTACGAAATTGCTCTCAAACATTTTCGTATTATTTCATAAATTATAGTTTATTGCTTAAAAATAAAAATTCGAAGAAAAATAGATAAAGTATATTGGAACTCATTAGGTGCAACAACAAACAACAAACAAGAATATTATTCATACGATACGTTGTATTTGTTCATAAGGTAAAAGAGTAACAAAAGAGGACTTGAGATTTTACATTTTTTAAGCCAAGTTCGTTTTATTATGCCTGCCACACTTAAAATTATTATTATTTGGGGCACCTTAAAATAATTTTTGCTTTCGATTGCTATAGTGAATATTCATACTTCCAAAAGACATCTAAAAGAACTAACTTACTATACAAACACAATAAATAAGGATCTTACCTAAGACGATCACGTCATAAATATTACAAACGGCCTATAACCTTTAGAAAGATCCTTGGAAAAGATCAAATTTATTACCTGGTCATGTAAATTTATATAATTCAATATTGTTATAATTTAATAACTTACCATTTTTCTATATAGAGGGGGGAAAAGCGTTACAATATCATGATATCAATTAACAACTAAAATAAATATTCTTGTTTGCATCGTAGCATTTTATATAGTAGGCGCTCGCACTCTAGGAGATGGATATGTAACTAATTACTAATATATTGTTTCTTTTGTCAACAGATTCTTCTACCTATACCACTTCTCGTTCTACGCATACCATTACCGGTTCAACGGCCAATACAGTAGCTTGGCACTTGTGACATCGTGGCTCTTTATACAAGTAAGTATGATGAGAACTAAAGAATGCACTGTATTCAGATTAAAAACCAAGTTCGATTCTCACCGGCACCAAAGAAATTTTAAAGTGTAATGTAAAGTGCTGGTTTATAACATAGTGGCAAATAATATTGTTAGGAAACCTGAAACCTTTAAGAGAATCGCGGAGAAAAATCTGTTCCAAGAACCTTTTAGTAATGGGAATGCACCTGTGCTCAGCTGTACTTTTTGTAGCTTTTTATTATTCGTCATTAATTATTTATTAATAATTGAGCCCTAAATTTGCCATCCAGTGGAGGTGTAATAGAATCCATCATTCCAATCGTGTCGACTTTTGGAAATGCCTTTGCTGATGATGATAAAAATCAAAATGGCAACGGAGAGCAGCTTAAAAAACATCTGCCAAATGTAACTATTTCATCAATAGAGACTTAGATGAAGGGATTCTAAAATTCGCTTTCAACTTTTATATGATAATATCGATCGGTTGTTAAATTCCCTTTTAATCAGAAAGTCTAAGTAGCAAAACGTATGCATGAAAATTCCAATAATCAGTACGTATAATACTCACGTGTAAGTAAAACATCATTATTGGAAGGTCTATACAGGTTGTTCGTGAAACGCTCCCGTAAACGAAGACAGACGATAGTACTAACGATACCTTTGATGATGAGTCAGGAAGAAAATCGATCCCGAAAAACAAAAAATCATCTTTTCATAACGTTTTATTAGCTTTTATCACGCTCCATCATGTTAGTACAGCTAAATGAAACGATAAATTCATAAAAAAAAATCATGAAAATACTTAAACATAAAACCAGCAGTGGAATTTACAATGAATAAAACAGCTGACAATAGGGTCAATATTCGCGCTGACGCCGAATTCGTGCGGCCCGCAGCTAGCGATCGTACCTATACCTAATAATTTACAACACTTGTCTAAATACCTAACTTATCTACTTAACTTACTATTTTGTCACTGTGCTTGTCTCCACCTTGCAACTTTAATTCGAATTTACAGGTTAAATAAACCTAATACCCGGTTCGATTTCCCGCTAATAAAAAATTTACTAAAATGAAATGTGAACAAGGATAGTCATGCTTTTCTATCCATCGTGTAGATATGTTTATTATTCTGATGCATTCAGTTATTTTTTTTATTTATTTATTCTTTTTTACATCTTCCTTATAATAAGGGATATAAAGGGCGGACTTAATGCCTTGTGACATTCTCTACCAGTCAACCCTGGATGATTTGAGAAGCTGTGGTAGGTGCAACACCACTCCATAAATTAATAAATAAGTAAAAGCATTATATCATATAACAAAAAGCAAATAAATAAAATATTTTTAAACTATACAATTAATAAAGAAAAAAATTAATACATATAATCACGCCTCTTTCCCGTAGGGGTAGGCAGATATCACTTCTTTCCACTTGCTACGATCCTTACATACTTATTTCGCTACGTCCACTTTCATTATTCTCTTCATTCATGCTCTACGGTTTAGGGTGCTCTTGACCTGGCCATTTTTCAAGACGTCCCTGATTTGGTCCTCAAATGTCCGCCTAAGTCTACCCCTTCCAGCAATTTCATTCACACTCGCCTTATACACTTTTTTCGTCAATCGTTCTTCATTCATTCTCTCGACATGGCCAAACCATCTCAGTATACCTTTCTCAATTTTTGTCACTACATCTTCTTTCAGACCACAACGTTTCCTTATCTCACTATTTCTTATCCTGTCACTCAGTTTAATCCGTATCATACTTCTTAACGCTCTCATCTCAACTGCATTTATTCTGCTTTCGTGTTTCTTCTGCCATACCCAACTTTCACTTCCGTACATGAGTGTCGAAACCAACACCCCCTCATGCACAGCCAAACGAGCCTTGTTAGACACCTTCCGACTGCTCATAAAGGAGTGCAAAGCTCCATGTTTCCTGCATTCACTCTTCTTTTGATATCACTCTCGCACTTTCCATCTCTTGTAAACTTTGAACCCAGATACACAAACTCTTTAACCTGTTCAATTTTTTCATCTTCAGTCACCATATTGCAGTCTGTCACTGCCTCATCTCTTTCAAACACCATCAGTTTCGTCTTCCTTACATTCATCTTCATTCCCTCCCTAACCTAACCTAACCTAACAAAAGCTCCACTCATAGTAGTTACCATCTCCTGTAACTCCCCAGCCGAAGACGCAAGTGATACTTGGTCATCAGCATAGAGAAAACATTTGACGAGTAACTCATTCATTTTCAACCCGTTGTCATTCTCTTTTAAATCTGTCAAGCAATTGTCCATGAACAGATTAAACAGCCACGGTGACGCTACACATCCCTGTCTAACACCTTTTTCGATATTAAACCATTCAGTGTATGCCCCGTTTATCCTTACACAAGCACTAGAATCCCTATAAAGAGATTGCAATGCTCGTACGTGGATACTGCTCACACCGTTCACGGACAGTGCTGACCACAATTCATTCCTCACCACTCTAAAAATTAATAGTAAATATATAAACGGATACTAAATAAATATAAAATAATATAACACAAAAATAAAATAACATGATACATATTAAAATACATATTATACAAAATATCAATTGCAAAGCGAAAGAGGGAGAAAAACAAAAATCGGATAAATCAGGTGGTATTATTTCTGTTAAGGAATTCTTGAATTAGTCTTATAAAATCATGTTTGTTACTGGTTTTTTTGATATGAACAGGCAAGGCATTCCAGAGTAGTATGGACTGCACAGTAAAAGAGGAATTAAAGAAACCACTCTTATATGGTGGAATACGAATTTTAAGACTATTTTGGGAACGGGGAACACTATCATGAGTAGAATATTGGTACTGAAAGTTATCCTTAAGATAAGAAGGAGAGTTTGGGTCATTTAAAATTGAATATAATACTTGTAAAATTCGGGAGCTACGCCTTTGACGAATAGAAAGCCATTTAAGCTTAGAACGGTACTGAGAAACATGGTCATACTTACGTAAGCCGAAAATGAACCTAATGCAATTGTTAAGAAGGCAATCCAACTTATCGAGAAGATATTGAGATAGATCTGGGTAACACACATCCGCATAATCAATCGTGGGTAATATCAAAGTCTGGACAAGTAGAAGTTTAGTTTTAAAAGGCAAAAAGCTTTTGAGATAGCAAAGAGAACGTAAGGTGGCAGTAATTTTACGGCTTATTTCAGCAACTTGAACTCCCCAGCTTAAGGTATGGTCCATATGTAAGGCAAGATTTTTTACAGATTTACAAAATGGCAGCAATGTTCCATTGTAAAACACGGGAGAAGGATCATCGTTATTAATCTTGGCTGATATTCTGCTACTACCTATAACCATTACCTTACATTTAGAAGGGTTATACCGAAACACCATGTCCATGTGTACGACCAATCTCTTATGGTATAAAGGTTGTGGTTGATTTTGGTAATATTATCGTTAAGGTCATTAACACTAGATCATCTGCATACAGATGGTACGAACTGAAGTGATAGAATTTATAAATAGAGAAAACATTATAGGAGTAAGTATTCCGCCTTGCGGCACGCCTGTTTCAATGTCAGCCCATGTTGAGGACTGTTGTCCTAATCGAACTGATTGCTGGCGGCCGCGAAGATAGGATGAAAACCATTCCAAGGCTGGGATTGAGAATCTAAGATTAGCTAGGAAGGCTGTAAGGATATCGTGGTCGACTGTGTTAAAAGCATTTGAAAAATCAACAAGCACTACCACTGTAAGCTTTTGCTCATCCATTCCCATTCGAATGTCATCTGTGACTTTTATCAAGGCTGTGGTAGTACTGTGACCTGCGCGAAAGCCTGACTGATGTTTATTCAGCACGTTATGTTTGGTTATAAACATAGAGATTTGCTTGTGACCACAGGCTTCCAAAACTTTAGATAGGTATGGCAAAATTGAAATTGATCTAAAATGGGCAGGTAATAAGGGATTAGGTATTTTAGGAAGTGGTCGCACGAATGCTTTTTTCCACTGAGTAGGATATTGGCCTGAATCAAGGGAATAGTTTACGATGTGTGTGATTGCAGGTAAAAGGCACTCAAGGATCATGGATATCATAACCTTACTAACCTCATCGCAACCCACAGCCTTGGATTTAATAGCTAATACTGATTTCTGGATCTCATCCTCAGTCACAGGTAAAAAGTGAAAAAAAGGAATAGGAGGAGATGGCATGGATTGAATGGAAGCTTGTTGTAGAACGAACTGTGGGATCCAAAGGAGAAGTAGAGATAAAATGATGATTTATTTCATCCAGAGTGATTGATGGACCATGATCAGATGTAACGGCCTTACTAATTAATACCCAGTGTTTTAAGAAATTTCCACACATCGGCGGTCGAAGAATTTGTAATATTGCTGTGGATATAACGGCGTTTAGCATTTTGTACCATCTGATTGCATTGCATTTTGTAGCAATCCCAGCTCTCCTGAGTACGATGCTTCTTAAATTTCACAAATGCTCGATCCTCGCCTGGTCATTGCTACCTTTACGGCCCTAGTCATCAACGGAGCTGGTGGACGCTTTACTCTTACTTGATGTTTAGAGCGTGATTGTTGTACAGACTAAGAACTATATTATTAAGCACGGAGACTTTATCGTCAATGGAAGTTGATTTAAAAACAGAAGTTAAGTCGATACGATATGCGTCACTTTTAAGTTTATCAGAATCCATTTTAGCGAAATTACGAATATAAAGTACTGCGGGATTGTGCTTAGGAGAAACAAGCTTATATGATATATAAGTAAGGTCATGTCGTGAAAAAGCAGGAGCCGATAGTTGTCCGTGCTTAATAACATAATCGGGGGGATTCAGTTATGTACTATTCAGATCAGTTCAGTACTAAGTTATTTAAAAAAATTAGGTATGAAGCAGCTTACCGATCTAAAGCCTCCGTGGCGTTATGAGATGCGGCTCAAATTGTGTCCCATTCATTTCGAGGCAGATTTGGGC